GCTGCCGCTCTCGATCCCGATCGCGATCTCGTCGCTCGCTGCCGCTGTCGCTGCTCGCGCCTCCCGCGAGCCTTCCCGCTGCTCGCGCCTCCCGCGAGCCCTCTCGCTGCTCGCGCCTCCTGCGAGCCCTCCCGCGAGCCTTCCCGCTGCTCGCGCCTCCCTCGAGGCCTCCCGCTGCTCGCGCCTTCCACTCCCTTTCCCGCTGCCGCTGCCGCCGCTCGCCGCTACCGCTCGCCGCTGCTTCCTCGTTTCTCCATCAGGCTCAGTATACTCTTAATATTAAGTTTATTTGAATTTTGAAATGATTAATTTTCTGTTAATAGATTAATAATATATTATTTTGATTTTAATGTTGTTAATTTTTATTTATTTGAAATTATTGTTATAATTATATTATATATTTTTATAATTTAGATAATTTTAAATAATTATATTATATATTTTTATAATTATATTATATATTTTTATAATTTAGTGCCTCGCTTCGCTCGGGCGAGTGCTTGGGCGAGTGCCTAGCGTCTCGGGCGTTTGTAGACCTTGGCGCCTTTTGGCGCCTAGCGCTTTATAAATCACTGTTCTTCACTCATTGATGCGTTGCATATCTTAGTTATAACCGCTTTCCCTCTTTTTATATATTCCTCAAGTACAAGAAGAAAAGAAATATATAAGAAAAATTTACAATCACGTCAATTCAAATGAAATACCTATTCTTTCCTTTTTCGAAGAAGACAATATTTCAGCATTGATTTAGAGGATAATCTTCTTTTTTGATGTATATTTTATTGATTACTTCCATCTTTAATGTAATCTTCAATCAAGAGAAAACTTTCTTGTGGGATAAAATCTTCAGTCAAGTTCAAGGCTTATATCCTTTTTTCTTTAAAATCTTCAATCAAATCAATGATTGCCACCTTCCTTCTGTTTTTTTTTTTTAGTTTTATGGAACAATTTTGATACCCGATATAGGATTATAGTAGATGTTGTCAATTGACAACTTGTAAAATTTCCGAAGAGAAAGTCCTAAACTAGTTAAAATTATTCAAGGGAAAATAAATCAAAATGGTCCCACATCACTATGAAACCATAGTGTATAGTAGCTGCTGCAAATTTAAACTGCATTATCGCAATGCTACATATGTGGCTTTCCTAATGTGCTCCACTCTGCATTATTGCAAGTTCACACTCAGTAGAATTCATCAGATTAGCATAGAGATATTTTGTGTTCTAGTTTTCACGTCTTTAAATCTATATGGAACTTTTGTTGAACTGTAAATTACAAATGCTTTACATATTATGTTATTTATATGCTCCAACATCCCTTTTATTTTCTTGCAGATTGTTGAAGCTAGAGCCAGGCTTCTACAAGATATGCACAGCCAGACAAAACCGATATCTGAGAGGCTATGGATAGAAGCATCTCGTAGTAAAGATGATGTAACAACGATTCCCATTGAAGAGAATGTCATGGGACCTCTGGATGCTGTTAATGTCACTTCCGCACCCGCAACACTTCCATGTGAAGAACCAGCTTCTGATTCTATGAAAGACATTGAGATACCCTCTGATGCCATGGAAGAAGTCGAGACTGAAAAGCATCCTGTCCAAACTACCGAGGTAAAAGTTGTTGACAAAGCGGTTGTAGAAGAAGGGCCAGCAAGTAAGAATATATCCAGCTTGACATCTAAAGACGCCACTCCGATGAAGTACGAGGACGGTGACGAGTGGTTGGAGGATGACAGTGGTGAAACTAGTAGCGCAAGGGGTGTGGCTATTCCTTTAGGGCAAGAAGAGGATGTATCCTTCAGTGATCTGGAGGATGTCGATGATGATCAAGGTCCAACTCGAAGCTCAAAAACAGTTTCAGTGGATTCTCAAACAACAGATTCTACAGGCTTGGTTCGGCCAAACAAAGTTTCTGGGGGTTCAGTAAAAGGCAGCAACTCCACCAGCCCAAAGTCGGAGGAATATAACAATTGGATGGACATTGAAGATTTTGATGTGGAATGACACAAGGAACTGATCCTTGTGGAGTTGGTGCTATGAAGAATCAGCTCTCTATCTTTTATACCGAGATCCTGACTTTATCTCCAAGTGTTCATGATCTAGTAGTGTTCTGTACATAGTCTCAGCATTGCCCAGTGTCTTTGAACTAGGATTTACATAAGATCACTCTATTTCGAGCTCTGATAACTTGTGGATTGCTTTGATCATGCAAGAATTGTGGAAAGAAAAGAGAAATACTAGTGGGAGAATAATCTTTATAATCTTATTACTGTTAAGAATATAAATTCATAGATTGTCTGTCCCATCTACAACTTGAACCTTGTAGATGAAAATTTAAGATGATATCAGAGGTGTACAAACCTGATAAAAAAACACTTTAAATGCCATACATGATTGTGATTGCTTGTAATTTATAAAATTCATGGCCTCACCAAAACTTGAAATTAGGGTGGACATGATCTGCGAGAAAGATTATAATTGAAATTATTATAGCAACTAACAACCAATATTATAATTATAATTATAATTTAATAAAAAAATATTTCTGTCTAGGGAAAAGTTCACATGATGCTTTGATCCCCATTAATCAAGCATTTGATTCCCAGGCTGTGGAATTGCACATGAGCACAACTATAGCCAGAGTCATCTCATATGAGCCTTTGATGCCATGCCTACTGGCCATGAAATAAACCAATGTCATGGGGGCCCAACACATGCAACCAATAGGAGGACATAATTGCTTCACTCATCCATCATATCCACGACAAGGAGCAGCCTTCACCTTGGGCTCCCATCATGTCATTTAGCTCCTCTTTCATTCCCACCCATCATTATGCTCCCAGCATTAGCTACTGAGCACACCTGGAAGAGGGTTGAAGACAGGGAGGAGAAGAATGGCTTTCTTTAACATGAACAGTGGACCACCATATGCTGTCTTTCTATAAGGGTGGCTTTTTAGAGTTATTTAAACCAACTTTTTTGTATATTTTATATGTCCCCTAAGGTTCACTTTAATATTGTCAGATTCTTTTATGTGTTGCATGGGCTGAGACTGGGCTGAGTTTGAATTGGCCTATTGGTCTCTGCAAATCTTTTAAATGTGAATGAAGCTTGTCTAATATAATAGTACTGATATAATTATGGTTTTTAGGAATAATCTCTACTATATGCTGTTTGTTTAGTGAAGGCCATCAACACTACTACTCATCTATCATCATAACCTATCCTCTTAGTAATGGGACAGGAATTCGGGTCTAATAAATATATTGTATATATATATAGACTTGCCTCCATTTAAATTACGGGAAAAGAAATCTTTAAAGAAAAATCTGGAGTTCATGGGCCCACCATCGGCTCTGTGAGGGGGCCCACAGGTTCCCCAACAAAGGCAGCATGCAGCATTCTGCACCAACGCCACTTTAATGAGTGCAACAAAAGTAACGAGGCACAATGGATGCCATGCCTTCTTTTAAGACCACCACTCACGGACTCCCCTTTCTTTGGCAACTCTGCTGCCTTGCTCTTGCCGATTGTGCTTCTCTCTCTCTCTCTCTCTCTCTCTCTCTCATGCCTTCGTCCACGTTTCCCAGCCCAGGGTGCGTCGCCTTCTTCGGCTGCTCCCCGAGGCGCCGGGGAAGGAGGCCGCCCGGGCAGCCGGGGTGCGGCAAGCTCGACCGGGTGGCCGCCTGGGTCGGCGGCAGCATCGCCACCGCGTTCTTCGCATCCCTGGAGCGCTGCTCCTGCATCAACATCGCCACCGACGACGACCGCGACGAGGACAACGACGTGCCGCTGATGCACGACGACGGCAACAACGTGGTGCGAGAAGGTGGAGGGAGCGGGGTGGGTGGGCGGAGGAGGGGAGGAAAGGGAAAGAGCTGCAGTGGCCGTGGGAGCTTCGAGGGGGTACATGGATGACAAGTAGAAGAAGCTGAGCTGGTCGAGGCTATATCAGATGCTTTGTGATGTATGCGTCGTCTTCCTTTGGTTTTGTTCACGTCGTGTTTCTATCCTCTGTTCATGTGAGTTATAAGGGTCCAAAAAGGATAGGCACTTCAATCTTTGTCATGTCTTTCACTTGCTATTCTTCAATCATTCTTTCACACCAAAATTTCTAATGTTTCATATATACTTCCATCGGATCATTAAGATCTTCCACATATACCAAAAAATCATATTAACCACTTCTAAGTAGTATTAACATTAATTAATTTAAATTTAAAATAAAAAAATTATCATTCATATATTTTTATTAATAAAGTTCTAAAAGCTTATTTTACATATATATATATGTATATATATATATATATATATAGTGAGTGAGAGAGAGAGAGAGAGAGAGAGAGAGAGAGCGAGAGAGAGAGAGAGAGAGAGGCAATAGCTTTAGTTGATGATTGTCCATTAAGATCTACTTATCATCATTGAAAAAATTTGATAAATTGGTTTTAGAAACACATTCAGCAACAAAAGTCCAAAAATGATGATTTGGCCTTCCAAACTTTGAAGAGTTAATAACTAAAGCTGAGACCACATTTCTATTTATGTTGAGATAAATTAATGGTTATCCCACATAAAACCATATTTCTTATTGTACAAATGATTAGTCTTATAAGAAAATCATTTGTATAGTTTAATATATCGAAAATATTAAAAATATAAAAAAAAAAAAATTAAAACTATTCTTAATAGGTAACTAATGCCATATCATATCATAAGATAGTTTTCATTACTCTCAAATGAAAATATAATAACTATCACAATGTCTTTGACCTCTTATAAGTAAACTTAATGTACGCAATTACTAGGCAATGCCGTTGACTTCCACGTTTAGAGACTTCTTAATTGCTTATCGATGCAAGCTCTCCTTCAAATAAGAACTTGTAGTTTGGGTATGAGTTCCCTCATATACTAACTCATCTTGCAAAACTCATCTCAAATGCTATTTCTCCATCAATTCTGCCATAATTCTGGGTCATGGTCTTGAGTTCTTTGCCACTCATGCACCTATATGATTACAACCATCAATTCCATCAACCTCAGTGGCAACATTCCACCTCAATCACATCAGAGTTGACTAGAAGTTTCAAAATATTTTTCTTTCTGTTTTGATGAAGATTTCATTAAAATTATTAATGGTATCCATGCCACATATCTTATCCTTTCCACTCATCAAATACCTCAAAATTCTCTCTACATGGAATGAAATGTTGATAACATAGTCTAATCTTCTTGTTGTTATTATTATTTTGATGCATATTTTAGCCATCTATATTCTAAAAACAAAGAGAAGTTCCTATTACACTTGAGACTATGATTAAGATTCAAATTCCTTTCAAATCTTAACATTGAAGAGTCTCTCACCATCTTGTTGTTGTTATTATTATTATTATTATTTCGATGCATATTTTTGGCCATCCATAACAAAGAGAAGTTCCTATATAACACTTGAGAATATAAACTCTCATGAGATCATCGCTTTCTTCATGTCACTTGTCCAAGAGTCATGACCTACTCGTACTCCTTTCCACTTGCGCCACCATCACTGCACTTTATCAACTCCAACAAGACAATAAATTAATGGAAGTGGATTATGCAGATCGAATGTAGGCATCAATCAAGAAAAAAGGACGGGGAAAAGAAGAAAAAGAGGAGGTCTACTGAACTCCTTGCTTCGTGTCTTTTTGACAATGGAAAAGCTTGTCGGGCATATTGGTTTGGACATGATCTAAATCCAAGAGGCCATTGGAGTGATGAAGTGCATGCGTTGTGAGCTACGGGCCCCTACATTAGGTTCATGCACGCAGATGGCTAATCTTGTCCAAGTCATGCTTGTCCATTGTGGCATCACATGCTTGTGCAACTACATGTACCTCAAAATGATTTGACATGTCTACTATGGTATCACATTTTGGGCAATCATAATAGCAAGTCCATTACGATTGTTGGGAACCTGAAATTGTAAGTCAGTTTATCTAGATTTCTATCTATATTATTTTGATAATTTAATTGATTATATTTATGCTATGTGCTTACATCTAAATGTATATAAAAAGGACTAGAGATTGAAATATAATTGATCTTTTCATGGGCGGATATCCTCCCCATGGAATCTCTACAAATAGAGAACTTCTAATTGAAAGTTCAGCAATGACATTTCAGAGAACTTCTAATAGAGAACTTCTTATTTCTTTGATGTTAGCTAATATAAGTACAAGATTATGGATATGCACATTAGAAGCCAACTGCATTGTATCATTGCAGATCAGTTCATAAGCTCATAAAAATGGTATATATAAGTGATCTTACACTTTTCTCAAGCTCTACCTAATTCCATTTACTTTTCTTGTTTCCACCTAACTCATCTTAATTGCATGTGTCATTGAGATACCTAATGCATTCATTTACACCCACTTGTTTTTTAGGCCACTTGTCATGTAGTTTCTTTAATTCATTATAATAAGAAGCAAAAGTATAGTATTAAATATTACATATATGATGATTTTTTTCTTTATACAAAGATGAGATTTAAGTTCATAATCTTATGATAAAATATCAAAATCTTTATTAAACTAATCTGGCGTACACCTTCATATATATA